CTCTTCTCGATATATAATAATTTGTAATTTGTAAACAATATTGAATAATAAACTTGAACTGGAACTTGTAATCATGAGGGCCTGATAGGTAATAAAATTTATAGGGTTTTGGTCTCATTGATCCTATGCATATTTCGCCATCTCAGCCAATCTCACTTTTAAAATATTATTATCATTTTAGGTTCCTGCGTAGTATTGCATATCGAGAATTCACTCGTCTTGTTCATGGCTACTTGGGGGGAAGAAGAATACCTTTGCCAGCATGTGCATATCACAGGATCAGGGAAACATTTAATGACACTGCATACAAGGGATTTGAAGTTGAGGAGACTGATGACAATGAATAACAACATTTAATAATATCTGATCAGCAAGCACCTTTTAGCTTGGAATAGTCTGTTTTGTTCATAATAGAAAGGAATAACTAGAAGCCATTTCTTAGAGAGTCATTTTTTAATGTTTCAGACAGTCACCTGTCAATTTACACTGCTTAATTAATTCAGTGTCATTCAAGCATTTTAGTTTGTCATGCCAGTGCAACAGAATTCATTCTGATGATGGTTATCGATGATAACCGAAATATTAAAAAAGCTATCACAACAAAATGGCTTCTTGTTATTTCTTTCCTTTACTTCAAACATATGTCTGCATAGATATATTTAAACTAGCCTTTGTTTTAGGCCCTATTCCCTAGGGCCTGATACTCAGGCTATATCCTAACACCAAGTGCAGGCTTTCAGTARGAACTTCAGATTCTGAGTGTATTATTAGGCAGCTACAGTAGTTTTTAAAAAAGTCTCCCAGAATCCTTGTTTGTTTTAATTTTCTGCTGTTTTCCTCTGGTTTCTTGGGCAATCTGTCACCATTTTATGTCCCTTCATCGGTTTCTTGCATGCTGAACATAGTCGGGTTCTAGTTGGCCTTGATGCTTCTTTCTCTTCAACTAAAAGCAATAAAAAGTGTTAAGGGGCAAAATGTTAGTTTTCTGCAGGTTGAATAGCTCTAGCATTGCTTGTTTTTGAATTAGTAATTTAATGTTTTATGCTTGCAATGCCAAATAAATATACCTGATGCTGTTGGAGGAACATCAACAACCTTCATTTTTTCCTTTGTTCCCTGATTTTTATGGCCTCTTCCTTATTCTKTTTCTCAAGCATGCTGTTCATTGGCTTGGGAGTCATGGTCTTAAGTTCGGCAACAGCAGGTGATAATTGGCCATTATGGTGTGCAACAAGGAAGGACTGGTAGATATCTTCCACATAACCTAATAATTATATCAAAATGAAGGGAAAATATCCAATTAGCTGCTTTAGTGGTTCCTACCTAGAAGTACCTYACACAGCAGTCTTTGTATTAGAGATATTAGTCTAAGACAAGTAAACTATGGTGGTTGAGTTCACTTTCTCAAATTAGTGAATACATAGTAAGATTTGGTTTTCTCCTATTATTCCTTATGATTTAGAGAATCATTTTGACCAGCATACACCTCTTATTGGTACATCTCAGGCAATAAATTAGTACATCCAAAAATATGTGTATTTCATCATATAACAAAAAGTAACTAACCAAAATCTGGTTTTACTCTGATATCACGGACAGTTGCTTCGCCATTCTTGAATTTAGGCCAGATTACTTTGACCTGATCTGACCCGCCTGGATTTTTTTTAATGTCTCGCTGTAGGTTAAGGTTAAAATGCATAGCTGCAATGATGTGCCTAAAAGTCAGATGATAAACAATGCAGTTATTATAAGCAAGACTAAAAGTTCAAAATTATTTCTTCTTATTTATAATTTTATATTCCTTCAATATACATAGRAGGCCATTCCTTTTTTAGGTGGGGATGGGAGGAATCCCAAAAAGAACCAGTAAAAAATGTTCCCCCTATTGCTTTTCAAAATGAAAAAAAATGTCCCACCCCTAAAGCTGTCCAGTAATTGTCCCCCTCCTATAAAATGATTGGTCTCTAATATGATATTTCCTACCTGCAATACATTCCTGCATAGGAATAGGCTATCATCTTTGGTGAGAAGTAATTCACAACTKAATGGAATCCTTCCAGACAGCTCGTCTGGGCAAGTGGCGAAGCTTGCTTTATGGCATTTACAAGTGAGGTTTTACTTAGTGCTTGGCACATCTTTTCATAAACTGGGGAATCTGCAACATTAACAAAATAAAAACACTATTATAAGAAAAAACTCCTTATGTGGATAATATTTATATTTCTTGTAACTGACCTTTTGTAAGCCATTTCCTGCCTTCTATTTCACCATGAGCACACTTGTTGAACAATGGTTCATCCAAATTGTCATGTTTGTTGATGACATGACTGAGGAATGATTTAAATTTTGCATATATAACCTTTCCATTTCCTGACAAAGTGGATGTTGCACTCCAGTAGAAGTGGTTAATGCAGGGCTTGATCCACTCAACCAATGCAGACCCACCACTCTCTTTACTGATTTTTGTGAGGACTTTGAAGATTTCTATAATAAAAGAAGTTCTATTGATTAATAAATTATGTTAAATAATACAGGCATATCTATGTTTTTGCAAAAAGTGAACATTAAAAAAATCAACCCAACAATAAAAAAAAAAAGGTCTTACTCTTTTTCAAATGCCAAAGGTCAAAATAGTGTGTGATGTTCGGCTGCTGCTCCTTCATGTACTTTCTTATGGATACATGCCGGTCCGTTATGATTGTGCCAATAGAAAGTCCACTACCAAGGAGAAAGGCCATACAGTTTTTGAAGCCAAGGAACTCCATAGCTGTACTGCTACCAGCAACATTTCTCTAAAATAAAAACATTGTTGAAGTATTAGCCAGAATAGTTTTAATAAGCATTTTGTTTTGCTTTAATGCCCAATTTTAGGAGTAGGGAACTTCATTTTCGTGTAAACAGAACTCTGCTTCAATTAATCCAAATTAAATTATTGGTAAAAGAAGCATAATTCTAATTAATCCTATGTGCAATACYCTTTCTTTAGCACTGTTATCTTCAGTTGAACGGATACTAATATTATCACCTTACCTGGACAAGTGAAAAGGTGATGATCAGTGGCAGACAACATGAAAACACAGTGTAAGCACCATATTTGGCACTATGGCCCATGCTGTCATGGCGAGCGTCACCAGCAATC